AATGTTACTGTTTTTGCTGTATTTTGGATCAAATAAATGCAGGCTTGGTGAGCAGAAGAGAATTCTTTAAAAAAACATTAAAAATCTTACTGTTCAAAAACTTTTGACTGGTATGTTAGCCTATAGTTTGAAGTAAAAAATATTAATATTAATATTAATAAGGAGAGTCTGAGATTTATTTGACAGTGATTTCACATTTCTTGTTTGTATGAAGCCTAAATACCAATAAGAGGTGAACATTTATTTATTTGCGCCATTTTTTTCCTAAAATATTATATAGTTTTATAGGAGTAGGTTTCATAGAGTTGGCAAATTCATTTTTCATAAGTTTGTAGGTACAGACATCTGTTGTGGCCGTTCTTGGCCGTTTTTATGAGGCTTTTTTAATAGTGTTCATATCGATATCGGAATTATATCGTATCGACCGAAATTAAGAAATATATTGTGATATAAATTTTGGCCATATCGTCCAGCCCTAATACAAAGTGATAGTAAAGACTTGTATTGTTAGAAAATATTTATATTTTGAATAAATGCTATTCTTTTTAACTTCTATTCATCAAAGGATCAAAGAAAAATTATCACAGGTTCCAAAACAAATATTAAACAGCACAGCAATACTGATAATAAATCAGCATATTAGAATGATTTCTGAAGACTGGAGTAATAGCTCATGAAAATTCAGTGCTGTCACAGAAATAAATATATATTGAATAAGTATATTAAAATAGGAAACTAATATTAGAAAAAAAAAAATGCAATAATATTTCACAATATTACTGTTTTTTTTTCTGTATTTTTCATCAAATAAATACAGCCTTGATGAGCTCCATTAAAAAACAAACAAAAAAAACAAACATTAAAATCTTACTGATCTCAAACTTTTGAACGGCATATAAAATCAATCTTTTGTGTTGATTATTGAGGTCAGGAGTTTTCTGACGTATTCAAAATGTTTCAAGGTTTGGCTGGAGAACAAACATGGTTTCACACAGATTGGTGAACAGAGAAGACACTTGATTTAATATTGTTTGTGATTGTGAATGCGGATGAACCGTAGTCAGGATTCAGGTGCAGTTGTGCTTCAATGGTACGTTATCACTTTTTGGCCACTGTGGAATGAGACGCATGGGCTTTATTTAATACTTGAAGCTGGGCGAACAACTCAATATACTGTTTATTCTTCTTGGAAAGTTCAATTTTCATCATTGATTTGTTTTTTATTGAATAAGCCACCATGCCATTGTGCACATGAGCTGACACATCACTGTATTAACCGCTGTGGCTTGTGTTTTTATATTTATAAAATTTATCCGCAAAGTTAAATACATTTGATTTAATAAAATGTGATTGAATAATTGTGCCTGAATGATGCTGGTTCATGGTTTGGGAAACTAGAGTAGCTGAACTATTGGCATAAAAAGCTTAAACACGCTCGCTTCAGTCCGCTAATTAATGAGTGCTGAGTGCTGTTGAACTCAGCTCTGAGGTTTGTGCGGAGAGCACTTTCATGTAGCAGGCAGCTCAGCAATTTCATCAAATCAAAATCTGAACAACAGATTTAGAGAGAATAATTTGCTACGGCAGGTATTATATTGGCTAGATGTGGATAATGTTCAATTACAAGCACAGGAGGGACAGCGTATTATAAAATACAGTATACTCATGATACAAGTATGTTTCATGTTATTTATTTAATGCTTTTTCAACAATTTTGAAGGACATTCCATGTATGCTCAGCATTTGTTGGACGCTTTCAAAAATAAAAGAATCAGTTTTACTTTTGTAAAAACATGAATACACATACTTATAAATGTCTATAAAATTTTAAGCATTTAAGCAGAGGCCTTTCGATCATAGTCCTTCATTAAAAGCTTTATGAGAAACATGCATTCAGTCAGGTTTATCCATTATTAGTATTATTAATATTATTTTATTAAAATATTATTATTATAGCTAATAATTGTTATTTGAAACATACAATAAGACTTTACAGTACGGTCTCATTTGTTAACATTATTTAATATATTAGCTAACATGAGCGAAAAAGTGTATTTTCACAGAATTCCTTAATTTTTTTTTATGTTATTGAATAAACATGTATTGTTGTTTATTGTTTGTACAAGTAATGTTTACCAGTACCAAATACCAGTACCAAATACAA